TCAGCCAGCTCATGGATTGCAGCTTCAGGCCGCTGCGAAAAACATCTTGTTCATCGGTGGTGGCGTCTTGGGAGGCCTGAAACGTACATCATCGAATTGGAGGCTAGTGACGACGAACTGACCTTGCCTTGGCCCAGCAGCACCCTTGGGCGGAGGTGCCGGCATGGGCATACCGTCAGCAATTGCCTTTCGTTCACCCAGCAGATGAAGCTCAATCTTGCATCCACCAGATCAAAAAGCAAAGCAAGTTCTGCAAGCATGTCCACTAAGCCGGGCAGGCATCAAGGGAAGTACGTCCCAGTTCGGGTCCTCTCATTCCAGCCCCATCAGCCTGCTCAGCTCTCTCCGTTCGTACATCAGCTTTTGCCGTATCCATCTGCATCCATCCCACACTTCTGCCCCATGCTGCTCGACTGCCTCCTTTCCACTCTTCGTGGTGCAATCCCACGCACAATTTTTTCGACTAATCACGGAGGTTCAAGCTGGCTTGTCCTTGCCTGAACCAAACTACTGTACTAGAAGTTGTTCGCGCACGATCGTCAAGCTGGCTTGTCACTGTTGGATTCAAAAGGATTCCTGGATTGTCCTTGGACTCTGGAATCTCCACGACACGGTTCAGTCTTTGCCCGCTTGAGGCGAGAGATGTACATAACAGGAAGCTGTACATGCAGATGGCTTTGTGTTTGCCCTCATTCCATCCCTGGTTCCCTTCCCACCCTCATCCAACCCTATAGAAGCTGCACCTGCAAAGCATTCTCAGGCAAACCCAGCGGCCATGCAGCGTCCATCAAACTTTCTCTGATTGCCCGAAACCCTAGACCCGAAAAGCCATAGAAGCCTTAAACCATAAACAACCTTAAACACGCCTAACCCTAACAACCGTAGAGCCTTAAAACCCCTCACCCTGAAACCCCAAGCCCCATAGACCCTTTTATAACACCCTAAACTCTAAAAAACCCTAAACACCTGAAACCCCCAAAAAACCTCGCCCTGAAACTCAAAACCCTCTAAACGCTTATAACACCCTGAACCCTAAAAACGCAAGCCCTAAAAACCCTAAACACCCCAAACCCTAAAAACCCTAAACCCTGAAACACCTAAAAACCCTAAACCCTGAAAATCTAACGTCCCTAAACACCCTCTCTCAAAGCGCCGACTGTGCTCCCTAAACACCCTAGACCCAAAAAACTCTTAAAACCTTAAACCTTAAAACCCTAAAAGCCACTAAAATCCTAGACCCTAAAGCCTAAAGCCCTAAACCCCAAAAACTCTAGATTCCAAAAATGAAAAAACTTAATGACCTCTATAACCCCCAGAAAGGTAAATTAACAACCCGAAGCACCGCAAACCCTTAAAGCCCTCACCCGGAAAACCCTAAACCCCCTACGTAAGCCCCAAAGCGCTTTATAACACCCCCAAACCCTGGAAGCCTAATCCCTCAAAAGCCTAAACACCCTAAACCCTAAAAACCCTGAACCTTAACAACATGCTGAAACCTGGATTTCTGGAAGTTGCGGAAACTTAGCGACCTATAGGGGCCTGAAGGGCAGTATCCTAAGCAGGCTTTTTTACGCGGGCCGCGGGACGCGGGACGGGGGACGCGGGACGGGGGACGCGGGCCGTGGATCGCGGGCCACGGAGGCGCGAGGCCGCGCGAAATTCTACTATTATGTAATGATCAAATGAGAAAAAGTGGATGCAGCATTCTGTTCGGTTGAAATTGCAGCGAGCGGTCTGTGGGGTCGCATCCCATCTGCCAAACATGGACGAAGATCAGACACTTCGCTTAAGCGCTACATGACCAAAAGTCACGGGCGGTTGGAGGAAGCGCTGGCCCCCCGATTGCAAAGCGTGGAGAGGACAAAAGCATGTGAGGATTCATACGACCCTTGTTAGTTTGGCGAGATTTGCCAAGCTTCGGACAGGAGAGAAGAAGATTGGATAAAGTTGCGGGGGATTGGGGGGCAAAAACATTGACCCTACAATGACAAGGATGTGAACACTTTGAAGATCAGAGACCATTCAATCCATTCAATTGGAGTATGCGAAGATTGACTGAATCCTACCTCCTCAGAAAGGTGAGATCACTTTGAGGAAGGATGGGGGCAGGTCCCACATGATGGTGCCTTTTCGGGCCCTGTGTAAGATACGTTCTTTAATGTGTAGCATACCTCAAGAAACTTCTGGCTTGCTTCTTCTGTTGTTTCTCTCCTTGTTCCCTCGTTTGTTCACCTTTTTGATCGATTCTTTGCGTCTTTCCTTCAAAGCTCTCAAGTCATCTCTAGTCGTAGCGAGAGTTCTGCCTGGCACCTCATTTGAAAATGATGCCACTTTGGTCTGAAAAAGCTACTCCGCGCTCATCTGTCTCACGAAGGCAGATCCCAATCTCCAACTTGCTTGTTTCCCTTGGTCTTTCGTCTGCCGACGTTTTCCTCACTCCTTTGGTTCATCGTTTTGCGCCTGCTTTTGTATCTGGCTCTCCTTCTTAGCTTAGCTTCTTTGTTTTCGCCTCTATGCTGCATGCCAGCACCGGCGCGCTGCACCAAGCCCAAGGCAGTGCCGAGTTCTTGCAGGTCCGACCAGCGAGGCCCCAGGTACCAACAAACATTCATCCAGAACAGCACACCAAAACTCACACCAACAACCCCATAAGGCTTCGAACTCCCTCCTTCGTTTTTGCTCTCTCTCTCTCTCTCTCCCAGTCTTGCTGGTTTGTTTGGCAAAGCTTATCATTGGGTCTTTGTCTTCTTGTCCACAAACTTTTCACAGGCCCTATCCCAGCCCTTTGTGCAGCTTTCTACCTTTATAGGTTGCTTGCGAGAGTGCGCGCCTGTACTGTAGCACAGATTAGTGCGGCTGTGCGGGGGGCTTTAGAGTTTGTTGCCATTAATATACATTGCTGCTGCTGCTGCTGCTGCGGCTGCTATTTCTCCTTGAGGACACTAATGAGCAGAAAAGTTCTCAAGGGTAGGGGCAAGAACATGTCCGATGAGTGGATGCAGCGCTTTCAACGTCTCAGTGACAGGTAACGTGTCTTAACAGCGGCTGAGGGGGATGAGTTGAAAAGGGGGAGCCTTTTTTTTCCTTGAAGCTTAACGGGCTTTAAAGGTCGGTAATTCGTATTAAAGAAGAGCTCAGGGTCGAAGCCTATAGCAGTACCAGCCTGAGCAGCAGAAAGAGGAAGAGAAGGCTGGGCAGTAGGATCAGCGCAGTTGGAGTAGGACTAATGGGATGATTGTCGGGCTAGGAGGAGCAGTAGTGGTGTAATTGTAACTGTAGTTCTGGTTGTAATTGTAGCAGTAGTGGCAGAAGTAATAGCAGTAGTAGTCGTCGTCGTCGTCGTCGCGGTGGTGGTGGTCGCGGTGGCGGTGGCGGTGGCGGCGGTGGTGGTGGTGGCGGCTTCTGCTGCCGCCGTCGCTGCAATTGTTGTTTTTGCTGTTATTAATTTCGTTCTCATTGTTGTAGAACAGTCTTTGCCATCGTTGTGGTAGCCGTACTATATCAAAAAGTATAGCAGTAGCAGTCGTAGCAGCAGCCGTTGTAGAGTGGTTGTTGTAAGTAATTGAAGATTTGTGAGTTGGCTATGCCTGAAAATACCTTCACCTGCCTACAAATTCCCTGAGATGCTCACCACGCGTCTTATGACAGTCCAGGTTAGGCCGACACAAGGTTGGCAAACCCTTTGTGTTCCAGGTTGCTTCTGCAAGCACTTCTCACCATGTTCCTTCATTTCCTTCCCAGCCGCGCCTTGGCCATCTTATTCTGAGGTGTTTTATCCTACAAGTAGCTGCATGCAACACCTGCACACATCTCCGCTCCGATTAATGGCTCCGGAATGCGACAGCGTGGATATCCGTCACTGAAACCCTGGACCGAACTAGAGGAAGCCACAAGAACTCTCATGCACACATTGTCAGATACCCTGACAAAAAAGTCTTGCTGTGGCCTTCAAATTGCCTTGTGGCAGCGGTGGAAGCTCCGGAAGAGTCAAACCGAAAGGCCCAATCCTTCGGGAAACACATGCGCTATGTCACCTTGTCTGTGTTTTCCAAGCAGCATTAGGCGCCGAACGTCCCTGGCAGCTGCCGAGAAAGGTCCGAGAAGCCTGCATGCTGGTTTTGCGAACCTTGACTTATCATTTGCATGCGCAATGCTTCACGGCGTGCCTGTCAACGACGCTTCCGTCTCCGGCATGTTCCAGTTGCTTCTTGCAACTAGATGGCCAGCTGGAGGGGGCTCCTCAAAATGAAAGATTGGTGATGCCTCGAGCGGAACTAGAGACATACATAATTCATGAAGAGCAGAATGCACCATGACTACTTCTTTGACTTCTATGAATGCATCTTGTATGCTCCTGCGGAGGTCTTGGAAGCCCTGGTGGTCGTGCTGGTGGCTGGGGCTTGCTCTTCAAAGACCTCGCTTCGAATTCTTCAGAGCTCTACGACATTTTTACGCTTCGGATGCCCCTACTCCCTCAGCTTTTGGTGCGAGATTGCACTATGTTCAACAGTGTCGGCCGACAGCGTTGGCAGCAAGCTTCACACGGTGGCTTCAGAAGTGAAAGGATCAGCTACACCAGCTCGTTTGACGTGAGACAGCGCTGCAAACGCTGCAGCATTCTCTCTTTGTTGAGGAGCGCAGCTCATCTGGCCTTCCTTTCAGCTTCGCACTCACACATGTCATTGCACTTGCTGCTAGCAGTTGGTTCCACCGTGCTCATCTTGAAAAGCTCTGACCATGCACAGCCTGAGCCCTCGAAAGCTGGTGGCCTACCAACCACAAGCCAGTGCTTAAGGCAAAGAGCGCGGCAGTAGAAAAGTGAGTCCCCCCTTTGGCAACAACAACGGCCTCCCAAAACCCAACAGAGAAAAGCAACTTGACACCTGCAGCTGAAAAGCAGGCAGGCAAACAACTGAAGAGGAGGAGTAGCTGTGTACTATTTGGAAAACAAAGGTCGGAGTGAAATTCGAATCGGGCAATTAAGGCAAGGCTGCTCACGCTCAGCTTGTGCACGCAGACGGACAGACTGGCGCGCAGGAACATAACATATCCATCTGTGCGCCATGGCATGCAATCATGAATGACATTGTCTTACGAGCCTGGAGGCTCAGGATCCCTCAGCCCAGCATTCTCCGAGTTCATGGATGCAACACACATTTGAGCAGGCGGGCTGAGGGAGAGCTGCAGGATAATGTAAAGGCAAATCATCATGTCATTATGCACAGGCTCTACGGAGGCCTAGGATGCAGTACCCTCAGGCACAACATGTTCAGTCCCTCTCTCGCAACCTACTTGAGGCACGAGCCCTGTTGCTTTGCTAAGCTGTAACATCGGCATGACCTCCAGCTGCAGCAATCTGCGGACGTTCAGCCCCATCCTTCGTCTTCCTGTCCCTATGACAAACTCAGGCCCAGACTGGAAGCTGCAAGCTTTGCTCAGCCCGCGGAAGTGCTTTTGGCTGGGGTGGCCGAACTTTGCCAACGGCGGGCCTGGATGGACAGGGTTTGTTCTGCGAAAACCCGAACAAATTCTGTGCTTTCAGAAGGCCTCTTTGGATATTTGCAGACCTTCGGTTGCGCCTCAGGTGCTTTGCCAAATCAGAAACAAGAACTGCTGCGCAACAAATTGTTTCAAGCCTGCTCCTTGAGCGGTATTGGCTTTGCAGGTGCAGATCGTGGCGGAGGTCTTGAAAGCACCCTGCAGGCAGGTCGATTGAGATCGTCATGCGGGCTTCCCGCAAGTGTCAACACATCGGCCTAGACTGTGGAAGCCACTCAAAACAGAACTCCAGGAACTGGACCTTACAGCTTGGGACGTATCAAACAACATTCCCGTACAATGCTAGTTTATGTTGTATGGACACGTGGGTTCAAGGAGAACCCAAGACCAATGCCTGGACCCAGCTGGCTGGAAACATCGAAGCAGCTGCTGCAGGACAGCGAGCTGCAAACTTTTTTCACTATGAGCGGTCCGCAGCAGAGATGCTCGATGGACGGCGGCTGCCAAGGGATGCCTTGCCGATGATAGCCAGCTTCACTCTGTGGGGTCAGATGTGCAGAACAGTTCATGGACTTTCCAGCCTGCGGTGTACAAATGCCACATCGAACCAGCAAATCTGACCAACACCGGTGTAACCTGAAGTGCTGCTGCTCGTTGTCTGCCACAAATTGAACATCAAGAGCAACAACTCAACCGTATTGCAGTTGCGGAACAAGTGCGGTGAGGTGCAAGGCACACTTCGTACACCTCATCTGCGGTTGTGCAAGCATCTCTGCGCAACAGATTTCGGAATCAAAAGTCGAAGGTGGTGCTAAACTTGTGGGACGGAATGGCTTATCCCCATTTGCTCCGCATAATCTGTGTCGGTGCAAGCCACGCAAAGCTGACAGAATGACATCGCTTGCAGTTCATCACCGGCATTCGATGGACAGGGGGTTACGAAGTTTTAGAATCGATTGGCTCGTTCCTGTGCAGTTGGCAGAACTCCGGATGACCCTTCTGACGGGTCAGTGGGTGTGAGCTCCTCCGGACTGCGCCCTAGGGTTAGCTTGAGGTTATCTGCGCTGTTACCCGGCTGGGATGCAGGCGAGCGTTCGTTGCCTGCCAAGCTTTCCCAAAACACTCGCCCAAACCTTGAGAAGCCCCAGGTTTCTGTTTGAATCCAGATGATGCCCGTCTACGTGCTATCTGGCTGGCGTCTTCTGCCTGTTCGGAAGAACAACCGCAGCGTTTTCCGTTTGCTTTCGGGCTTGGACTCGAATGGAAAGCAAGCCATGCAAGCCCCTCCTGTGCTGGGAGTCTGGGATTAGAATGGTAAGCGGCAGCGGCATGCAGCAGTACAACGTCATCAAACTGCTCAGCAAACTCAGCGCCCGTCATTGTGCCAAAGTGCCTGCATCATCTCTTGGTGAGGCCAAGAGCCGGGATACTTCTCTTAAAGTGAACATCCACTGATTCTACTGCTGCACAACATGGCTTGGAAGGTATGTTGACGCTTGTCCCATTTCGGTCTGGCGGCCCCTGTGATTGGCAAGGCCGCTTCTGATCCGACAAAGTACCCTTCCTCGGCAGACGACAGAAAAGATGCGACCATGATGGACCATGCACAGAAAAGGCCATCACGGATGGGTTCAAAAATGTTTTTCCTGGATGAAACATCCCATCGGAAACGCGTGAGCCCAAGCTGAAGAGTGTGGCACATCGTGGCACTATGAAAAGTGCACGCACGTACCTGAAGTCTGCTGAGGCGCATAATCCATGGACTCCATGAAATTCACGACGAGCTCCCTGCATGCGCGAACAACACCTACGCCTACGCCTCGTGACCAAGTGGCAAGACCTTTCTTTCCTACGCTCTTCAGCTGGCGAGCAATCGGATGAAACTCTCTTTGGGGTGAGTCCAACGGTCCAAAAGGTTTGCATTACATGAACTGCGGCGTTCATGGCATCATTTCAATGCCAATTTGCTCGACATGCTTACCGCAAACCTCTCAAGACACTTCGATTTGTTGCCAAGGCACAGTGTTGGTTCCGCGGCACTCCCTTGCACGGCCTAAGAAGTTGATGTTTAAGACTCTCTGCAGGCGCGTTGTCCTAGGACGAACTGACAAGCTCCAAAAACAGCTCCATGCTTGAAAGAGGCAGTGTGGTGCGTCGCAAGGAACTCCCGCGCGGCCTCGGTGGCTGTTGTGTGAGAAGTCTGTGGGAACTAGGCCCCGTGGGTGCTGGTGCCTCAAACAAAATATTGGCTTCCCAGTAGCATAGGATGTGTCGGCGGACCACTTGTCGCCATACTCCACAATGACAAGGCCAAGCCTGCCAAGGCATCAATTCTGACACTATCTCGTCTACCCTTCGTAACCATTGAATAGAAGACTCCACTCATATCCGCTCACTTTTAGCACTGAGGCCTGGCGGTTGAAAGTGCCAACTTGGCACCCTGCAGGACCTGCCACTCATGGCCCTCCACATCAACCTGCACCGGCTACAGCGCCAGTAAGGAGGAGCAACACTGCAGCCAAGCACGTCAGCTTCCTGAGGAAATCACCTTTAGAATATCAAGCGCAGCATCCTTACCCAGGAAATCATCCACCTCCAAGGTTCAGATTCAGATTCAAGTCGAGTCCAGTCGCCACTTCAGCACATCACGAAAGCTTTCTAAGACGCGCGCAGTTGTGACGTTGACTTGCTCCCAGGTGCCAGGATCCTCTGAGACAAACTTAACATTTAACAATGTTCACCGCAACACTGTCGGGCATCTGTCCTGGCATTCGTCTGTGCTCACCCACTGTCCGCCTTGAATGAGGATTGCCGGCGAAATGTTGCCGCTACTAAGTATAGACCTAGCTGCCTCCACTGTTTCAAACGTCACGTCGCCACCGCTAGATACCACTATGCCCCTAAAAAATCTGCCTGGCAAACACCCCACGTCCTGTTGCACGTGGGATCAAGGCTTGCGCTGATGTCTGGACCTCACTGATGCCTTGTGAGAAAATTAAGAGCTGGCCCTTGCAGACGCCGGGCGATGAAAGGGAGCTTTTTTTGCGGAGCACTCTCGGAGGGATCGCTGTGACTAGCAGCATCCAGCATTCTCTTTACGAGCTGGACCTGTTTGAAATGGATTCGTCTCGAAGGAGTCTGCGCTGCCATATCGGTCCTGGCCATTGCGACGTACATGCCTTTCGCACAGAATTTCACCGTGGTCCCTGGCCCAGGTCCTGGTACTGACGCTGAACGAACCTTTCAGCATGCCCTCCCGCTGCACTCACATTCTTGAAGATAGGATTCGACTCTGGGTCGTAATCGTCAAAGGTCCTTTGAAGGCTAGCAGAATTGCTTGAACAGGAAAAGTTGACAACAAAGACGTGGAAGTCCTGCCAAGCGGGTCAATGCTAGAAACCGGCTCCATGCCATGAGAGAACTGGTACTCCCTGTACAGGTGCCACGCGAATAAGGCTCCAAGAATTTCGGTGCAAGGCGTGCCAATACCTCTGCTCGTGAACGTCGATCTATGCAAAAGCATGTATCCGTACATGGTAACTTATGCCAACCAACACTGCAAGCATGCAATGCTAACACCATCTCACAGACTCAGCAATTAGGCAAGCGGCGCACAATGGCAGACAGAAGCTCCAATTTGATCAAGCCCGTGGCTACAGGGATTATGAAACCCAAAGTATCCAGCAGCGTGTTCAGAGCGCATGCCAGGCCCCAAAGCGAGATGTAGGTGATATTCATTTCCTTGCGTCTGCGCACTGAACATAAACACATGTACTGCCGCACTATCGCACGTGACATGGTAGCTTGTCATGTTTGTATGAAGGCGAGTATCATGGTACCAGGAATACCAGCCCAAAGCACAGATCAAGCCCATCCAGAAGCAACCCAGAAGGTCGAACAATACAACTCCGCGAAGAACGCATGCAGCCGCCTGGCACGGGGTGTCTCGAGATGAAGTACATCACAGAAGGCACAGAGCCTGCTTTGAAGACATGCAGCCAGCCTGTAAAATGAGAATCAGGTGCATCCAGTGGCTATGGTTCATGGCCTTTTCAGAAGCAGTAGCCAGGCGCACATGTGCAGTTTGCTTGTTGTGGGGCAGTCACATACTTCGTCGGTGGGCCAACTTGTTGCGGAATGAAGGAAGGAAGTGCCCCTCAGTTTGCACCGGTGCACCAGCCCAGGAATGTCAGGAGGAATGCGTGGCGAATCAGTGAATTAAGGCATCCTGCTTGAAAAGATTTGTGGTATTCTGAGGTTGTGGCGTGATTCGCTTTTCAGTCCTTGCGCAACACCAGCTGCAATCACTCCCTCCATGCTCTGCTGGGATGTCTTATTTCCCATCGCTTCACTGAGGCGGGAGGTTTACCAGGTTTACCCATAAGTTGGGCCTGGCCTTGAGCCAACAGATGTCGCGGTGAATGGCGAATGAATGAAACCTTAAATCACATCGTACTTATGGTCAAGCCCTGAAGTTCTGAAGCCTGCGCACCCTTGCCAGGGGTTTTGGGCTAAGGAAAAGCTAGAGGCGGGCTAGATGACGCCGAGTTGCAGGCGGTGTTGCCGAGAGACCCCGTGACCTGTCCGCCTCGATTGAAGCGGCGATTGACGCCGGTGACGCTGGACAGCGCTAGCTGATGTGACTGTACCACCCCAGGTGTGGCAGCCGTGGCAGCTTGCAATCTCTCAAATCCAGCTTGGGAAGGCTCAAATGCCTCAGTTGCAAGCCCTAAGCTGCTGCAGATTTCCCATACATCTCGATCCTTTCTGCTGGTCTCGTCCGGCCATGGCGCCGCACCAACATCCCAACATTTCATCTGTGAGGCCTGGCCAGCAAACTCAGCCCAAACCTTTGAGAGGAACATATCCAGAGACCCGGAGGACCCAGCGAACTCAGCATGAAGGTGTCGCAAGAAATAAAGCGCCACTTCCTCAGCATCGACATGCTGGGAGGGGCCAAGCAGAAGTGCCCTTTGGAAAATCAAATCTTCGCTGTGGGAAGAGAGTCTCGACCAAAATGCCGCAAATCCCGGCAAGAGAAAAATGTCTATCAAGTCTGCGGCGGACTTGCCGTCGCTGCGAAAAAGATGACCGACATTCTTCTGCATGTATGCCAGGTCGGCATCAGAAAGGACGGGTGGAAAGACCACTTGTCGCCACATGCTGTCGCTAACGTTTTCCTTCGTCCTGAAGATGGTGGAGGACTGGTTTGCGAGACGTGCCAGCAGTCCAAAGACAGGCCACCCGGACAGCACTATGTTTTGCCAAGGTGTGTCGAGCACCTCGAGGAGCAAGTCCTCCATCCAATGTGTCAACGTCTCTTCCTCGTCATGACGACTACTCAAGGTAGGGATCATATCCACAAGGAACAAGCGACTGGCCAGCAATCCCAGAGGGCACTCATGCACAGCTCTGGGCGATTCTAGGGCCATGGTTGTTTGGAGTAGCATGTTTGGATGCATGGACACAATCTTCGCATCACGAACTCGATCCCACATCGCCTTTTTTACAATTTGCCAGGAGGACAGGTGTGATCCACCAAATTCACAAGTCCACATCAGCTGGCCATCATCGCCATTACATTGCAAAAGCAGACTTCCAAGCACGAAGCTGCCAAGCCATTCTGATTTGGTCATCTGCCAAACCAGGTGGGGTTTGCTTGCAATTGATGAATTCTTCTGTTACAAGGCCCCTTTACTTGGTTCACTTGTGATATGAAAGGATGCGCGCTATGCTACAGGCTTGAGCGGTCGGTCTGAAAGCAGTGCAAGAGCGGGCGTCCCATGCAGCATGTGGCTGACCAAGACATGTAGTGTGCTTGAACGGGCTCCCATGCAGCAGTCCCTGGATCTGCGAGAGCCACACCAATGGAAACACCAGCACTGCAGCAACGAGGCCGCTGGCACCCCAAGCTGAGTCAGCCTGCCACACAACGCTGCGGAATACGGAAAAGTTCAATGCTGATGTCACTTGCAGACCTTGAAGGCTAAGAGGGAGTGCTGCAGAACTGCAAGTGCCTGCATTCTCCCGACAAAGCTTCTACGGTTTTCAAAGCGTCTCACCGAATTGAAATTGAAAAAAAGAGGCAAGCAAAGCTGCAGCCTCTGTCGCAAAAATCGCTACCACGAAGATGCCAGCCTCAAATGAGCCGCAAGGTGGGGCAACTTAACACCTAAAAAACTGATGATTTGGCTGAGGGCTTTACCCTGCGAACGCGTGTAAGCTTGAGGTGGAAGTAATTCCAACCGACCACCAAATGATTTCTCCTGTGGACGACTCTTCCCGCCACTTCAAGGAGTTGCTAGAATTGTGGTCTGGACCTGTATAACGCTTGGGTTAATACATCATCTCGAGCCAAAGATGTGAGCTTGCTGCACCTCATCGCTTGGAAGATGGTCCCCAGAACCTTCTCTTTCGGGTCCTCTCGGTCCTGAATTTCCGTCTGTCGGTGATGAGGGAACGACACGGTTAGTTGCCTAGTCAGAGTGACCGAGAGCCTTACAATCACCTGCGTTCTGAGGCTGTCCAGCGGAGTGACCTCAGTGAGAGGCACAAAAAGTTGCTGCTGTATCAGTCAAGTTGCAATCTTCAAAACTAAGACAGGGCTGTTCAAAGGCACAGTGACATGGCCCTGCAAAGCCCGGAGCTTTGTTGGCTGCATCGTTTTCGTCCACATACACGGAGACCATGACCTTCAGCTACAGTCTGGAATAGTCTGGAGTTGCATCCGCTGAGCTATGAGCAACACCTGTGCCAGAAGTCTCTTGGGTTGGCACAAACCCGGCACAGGCCACCAGGACAAGCGTCTGGAGCCAAGGGACATGCTCACTTTTGCAAGCATCAAAGAAACAAGCTGGAGGCCCTACCGCTGTGACAACGTTCGCCGTGGTGGTGAAATCACTTTGATACTGACCTGATACAGCAAGGGTCTCATGCCATGCAGCAAGAGACCAGCACCAAGCCCCTGACTGAGCAATTCTCCTGGCGACTCTTGCTGGACCACATCAAGCCTTGATGTTGGCTGATTGGCTGCGTCAGAAAGCTTTCATGCAAACGCAGCTGTTGCAAACTGTTTGCGCCATACGACTGTAGTGAGTAGTGAGTGAATGTGAACCAAGGGCCATGCTGGGAAGCAAGGTCATCGGCAATAACGACGAAGTTCTCCGTGTGCATAGTGACGCAAGCATCCTGGCAGTCTTTCAAATGCGCGCAGCATGAAATGTCCAGAAAGCTGGTCCTGGCTGAAGATGGATCCACGGGCATCGAACATAGCGTCACTGAAGTTGCCGTTTCCCAGATCCACCCAGTAGCATGTGGATGGGTTCCTGCCAGGTTGCTTATGAGTCAACTCCAGCAAACCCGCAACACCACTTAGTTGCGTGCAAGACATTGCCGAAGCTGGAAACATCATACCTTGAGCATTGTGGGTGCTAGCTTCAGGCTACTCTTCTGCTCAAAGCCAAGCAGTTGTGGAAGGTACGCCGCAATCTTCGGCAGCATGGAGAAGGATGCGTTCTCAATGGACCTGCGGCGCTTTTTCTGGATGATGAGTCCAGGACAATAAAGACAAGCAACATTGACTCAGAAGTGGCCTTTGGAGAAGATCGCCTTCTCCAGCCTCCGGAAAGTACTGTATCAAGTTTGCAAACGCACAGCTCACAAACAAACCTCGTCTGTGATGATGAGCGACATGGCATGCCAAAGCCTGCAACTTAGGACATTTCTACGTCATGCTACACAGATCTACACGCAGCAATATGTAGTTTCTGTCATGAAATTCAGGGGACATACTGCGGGGGCCTCTCGCTTCGATTGAAAGTCTGTGGAGGCCTTGGCATTCTGAGCTTGGCATTCAAGCCCGATGAGCGTTGTAGTTCTTCTGCGTCTCCGGCACAAGGCTTTGCACTTCCGGTCTGCTCTCGTTGGCTGGAAGGGGACCGTCCCTCAGCTCACGAATTTATGGAGATTGCAGCATGGTCAGTTCAATACAGTTGACAGCAGGCTGGATGGAATGCTCGAGGCCACTGCAAGCTGCGGTTGCCAGGCATGACCAAGAAGTCAAAGGGAAACTTCCTGAAAAATGACAGAAAAGTGAAAGCAGAGAAGAGGCATCAGCCATTGAGTCAAGTCGCTTGAATTGGACATACCTGTAGTTGAAGCGGCTTGGCAAACCCGGCCGCTCCAAGCCTCGCTTAGGCTAAGCCGACTTCACCCGCATCCTATCGTCTGCCCAAACGACTCTTGGCCAGCGGCTCGGAAGGTCAAACCTCAGATATCTCAAAAGACCACGCAAAGCAAAATCCAAAACCCTGCAGACTTTTGTGCTTGTCCGCAAGAAGGTGCAAAAAAACAAAAGCCGAGGAAATCTCTGTTCCGCCCGAGGCTCAGAGTGGTGACCCTTGCATAGTTTTGTGACTCATCTGCTGCGTCGCTGAAATCCTTGCCTAGGTTCCAGTTCGACATACACTGGCTTTGGGTTTGGGGCGGAAACAGCAAGTTTTCAGTCGCTGGCCCATGAAGATGTCTTGGCCCGGTAACGCAAAGCTCACTGGCACCTGGACTTCTGCGAAGCTGGACAGAACTCAGGAATGCGTCCTGCTTGCGAAAGCTTCCGTGCCTCACCCGGATACAGCTGCAAATGTATCACCTAAATGCGAAGAATGCTGCAGTAGGCCATGCTGCTGGACTAACGGCATGCTGGGCGCACATCCGTCACCTGTTGAATCATAGCGTTCGCCACGAGGAACTGTTGATACCTGCAACGCACATCTCAGACGCTTACTCTCGCCCTCCAGAGGAACAATGAGAGCCCCCCGCATGGTCTCTGCGTCTCTGTTGTCGGTTTGTTGAAGTCTGCGGAACGTCCATTCTCCGGGCACCTGTGGCAGTCGCTTTCCTGCTTCTGGCCTGGCACCCTGTATACATGCGCCCCAAGAAACCCTTAATGTCGGGTTCTGATTATAAAACCCCCCCACCCCCCCAAACAAGTCCGGAACAGA